AACTAATAATAGATACTACTTTTTCGGCGCGTCGCGTTGGTTATATTTATAGGCGTGTGGAGAGTTTCTAGAAAAATTCAGATTACGTAACAATACAAAGCTACATTAAGCGTTTACGTATATACATATGCTATTGATGCTTACAGTCGAGAATCTTCGACAACTTTAGAGAATAGGCGGGAGTTTTGCAATACATATTTAATTGTATAAGTTATGTACACTTGTAAACATAAATTTAATTCAAGCAAACATCGATATTAAAATAAATATATAATAATAAAGCCGTAACAATCCCTAACTTGTAATCAAGGCAAATAACCTACATATGTCAGAATTAAAAGTAACTTATTAATAATGCAGCGAATTTAACAAACCAGTCTAACCAGGAGTACGATAGAATAAAGACGAATAAAGGTTAGCTTACATTGATTTATTGGTTGGGCACCCTGCTGTAATCGATATATTCGGCCATAATTCCAATAACATCTCACGAGGCTCAGCCAGCTTATGGGATTTATCCAGCTTATCCCATGTAGTAAGTAACAAATAAATGAAAAGTAAGAGTAAGCATTTGAACCGATACTATTAATAAAACTAACATTAATGAGAGACAGGAATATAACTTATACGTGAAAAACTATCTGCTTCCTTCATGCTTTGTCACTGGTTCCCTACCCCTACAAACATGTTTTTTATTAGAATTACCTGTGAAAAACAGATGTGTTTCTATACAGAAATATAGTTCTGTATCTTGTAAGTCTTGAGATTTTCAAGACACTATACAAAGAATCTAGTGATAAGAAATGTAATAAGGTTATTCCTAATGTCTTATGACATGTATAATTATAACCGTTCTTCGCGGGTGTGTAATAGTGTCTAATAGTTGTTGTTGTTACAAACAGCTTAGTTGTTGAATACAATAATAAACACAGGGAAAACATGTAAAATGAAAGCTACTTATAGAAATCGCCTAAAACTATAGAAAACACACCAAATCTTATGGAAATCATGTAAATCGATACGTAGATACAGAAAAGACGGAAAACACACTAAAAGAAATCTAAGTCTGAAAAGCTACACGAACAGAAAACATATTTAACAACTGGCTGGAATACCTGTCCCCTGGACGGATGTTATGTAAATTCATGATTAATGAAAGGATATTCTAGGACATGAAAACTGGCTTCCCTTATATGTAACTCTAAAAATACGTCCATAACAGCTGCAAAACACAAAATACAAATCTGAAAATTCTTATGTACCTCCCCATGGACCCAATAACTCTTCATGCTAGATTTGGCGAAGATCCATCAAAACTGAAAAACGACCATAAAAACAGCAAAATGTAAAATTAAAATGTGTATGTAGGGGAGACCGGGGCTAGTTGTTACAGGGGCAAGTTGATACAGTGCCTCTAGCTCTTCTTGAGATTAATAGACGACGATAGTTCATGGACCATCGAACACGTGTTGCGCAAGCTTTGTTTTAATAGCGGCATGAACAAGATCAGTCACGAAATAAAAAAGGTATGTACATTTTCTGTTTTTGTATACCTAAACTAAAAAAAAAATGTCTAGGA